GTTCACATTCAAATACAGGGAAACGCAACCCGGCATCACACCATAGCTGAAGGCAAAACAAAATGAGGTGACACTGAGTAATGTGAGCTACCCTATTCTGTGTCAAGCGCAGTCGGTGTGAACGGGTGCCACCTGTGCAATGATGCCCTCGTTTCCTCCGTTCAGCCTGTGCCTCTCCTGAGATCACGCCGCGTGATGACAGGACGGGCGGCTCTGCACGCCGGCGTGCTCACACATCAATTAAGCAAGGTGTGCGACCCAGGAGCCCAATTAGCAGACAGCCAGCCCAGGCTGAGTGGGCTTCGTGGCTCTCGCGGTAAACAAAGACGACACACCACGCTGCTGTTCCCTCACTAGAAAACTGACAGCCCCACCGGACGTTACGCCAAGAAGACAATCATACCCACTGGTTAAAACGCCGATTAAATACACTTGACGGGCTCTAGGTTTAAAGAGGGCAACGCTGTCTAAACATTTTAGCACGACTCTCTGCCATTTACCGTTAGCCCGCTAACAGCAAGCGGGTCATAATAAAAGCTAGCGGAGGATCCCCGCTAGTTAAAACTAATGCATTACAACGCAGTGATTACCATAACCGCACATATAATATTTAATTTAAAGAACACACTTGTCATAACTTGTACCGTCAGCAACAAAGACAGCCGCGGCAGGCCACGGGCACTGCAATTGAAGGAGCTCACTTTAGCCACTAGCAGGCTGGCTAATGTCCAACTCAAAGCTTGTCAGGACAAAAAAAAGTCAGCTTTCCCCCCAGTGAACTCAAACCAGCTCGATTACATTGTAGACTAAATGCGATATAACCTAAATACCAGAAAAGTACATAACAATAATAGGTGACTGTCGGCCATGCGATCGTTATGAGTAGATTTAATCAGCAAAGCTAGTAAACTGTTACGCAGCTAGCGTTAGCTGATGGGCAGCTAAAACATGCCAGCTTTACAGGAAACACTGGTGAGATTCACAATCACGGCAACAGACTGGGAGTGGGAGCACACACTGTGTTTGGTCGCTACAAACTAGGCTAACTAGTTACCTACTCGTTTATTTTGAAGGGCGCCATGTTCACAGTCCTCCATCATGGGGACAGGAAAAGAAGCCACGGCTAAGCTAACGGCGTTAGCGCATGTAGTTGCTGGCTAGCTAGCCGCAGTGTTGTCACACAGAGCCTGAGCCATTTTCTCCAGGATTCAAAAAAATAAAATAAAATAAAACTCACCTCCGCCTCCGTGTCACAAGCACAAAGCGCTGCAGAAAATCCGTTGAGGATTGGACTCGAGTCAGCTTACATCAGTAATTTTCGAGCTACTGGGGTCTGTTGGTGAAGGTCTGTGTCCAGCTTGGCTGAGAGGTAAACACGGGGCAGACGGAGCCGAGCGGAGCCACAGGGAGAACTCTAGTGGTGGAATCTGAATCACTGCAACCCGCTACACCTGGAGCCAGCAGCCGGGAGATTTCAGGGCATCTCCATGTCAAATCGATGTGCGTTGGGGAAGCTGACCTTCAAGGCTGCCTGTCAGACACGCTCCCTGAATCTTTAAATTATTTTTTTAACAAGATATTTAAAAAAACAAGAAGTTTGACAGTATAAAATATAATATTTTTTCCACTTCCATAAATAAATAAATACATGTTTTTTTTTTTAAATTGTCAGATTCAAAAAATAAATAGCGTGCTGGGGCTTCTCGAAAAATAAACAAACAAAAACACAATAAAAGACGAAAGCTTGGAATTTGTAAGGTGGTAACAATTTAGAACAAATTCCAAATTCTTTTTTTTTACTTTAATGAATTAATGGCAAACGATTAATTCATTTATCTAATGTCAGGCTTATAAACATTTTTGGTCTGTATAATTACCTGAATAGCATGTTAAAATAAACGTATTATGTTGTTTTTAGTTATTATTATTACTGTGTATTTATTTTTAATTTTCCATT